GTTAGATCACATTAAAAATGGCCATCCAATCTAACTTGGGGTGCAAACGGGAATGTAGCTCCTCACTTTTAAGTGCGAACACTTTGCAGGAAGTGTTCTGAGTTGCAACAATCCCCTGGACCAAACACAAGTTCACAGTTAGTTCCAATGGGAAAGGGAATCTAGCTGCTGCCTGCCAGCCTGCAGCCAGTTTCTCCTAGCAATGGCCCCTGCTCTTTGCCAGGCTGCAATGTTTTCAGAATGTGAGGTGAGGGGAAAGGGAGCTCATTCCAGGGGTTCCCTAGCCAGTGCTGAAGGATGAGGTGGGTGATAGTGGAGTTCCCCCCCACCTTGGAGGGGGGGCCCCAATAACCCCACCCCACCCTCCAGCCAGGGCTGAAAACCCCCCAGACTGAACTCCCTTTGCTCCTCCCCTTCTCACCCCACTTTTCTGAAAATAGCTTGAGGCTGGTAGGCAGAACAGGCTGAAGTTACAGGAGATGCTTTGTTTTGAAAAGTCTTTATCTGACCCCTTATGCAATGAGGCCCCTGGCCCCTGCCCCCAGATGAACACCTTTCTGCATGGACCAGCCTCCTATGTGGACTACAAGCCTGCCAAACCACCTCTGGTGCTGTTTTTACTCGTATTTGCTGGTGCTGGAGTACATGTACTTATCTTTTAATAAACCAACTAAGTAGCTGGAAAAAAGTTCTTTGTGAACTTTCAGGCACGAACACTCTTCTTCAGGCAATGGGAGACTCTGGGGGGGGGGGGGGTGTACATACACACACTTCTGTCCATGCACGCACAGCATGTGTACACACACACACACACACACACCCTACTTGTCCATATACTAGGAATGGAATCTGGTCTCCATTAATTTCTCCACACGAATAGTGGTGTGAATCCATTAATTTCAATGCTCAGCTGTCTTGCATGGGTGTAAATAAGAACAGAACAGAGTAATTCAATAACAATTCTTATTCTTTTTTTTACTAGGGACCTAGAATACAGGCTAACTTCTGAGGCAAACGCATGCAAAACATTTTACTAAGACAACATAATTGTTAACAGTGAAACTGAAAGGAATACATGTTTAATCGTATCTTTAGAGAGGTGAATGCAAGGAAAACAAATGTTTTTGCAAGCTGCTAGAAAGAAGGGAGCCTGAGATTGTTTTTGCAGGAAATTGTGCTGAAGTGGTGAAAGTGCTTCTTGGCAATCTTACTTTTGTCCAGTCTAAGGGAAAGCAGAAGAAAATCAAATCCACTCCAAAAGTCTTTGATTTGTAGAATATTGAGAAACGGAAGGTATAGGCCTTCAGTGTCAGCATCGGAACTCATGGGAATGGAAGTTGAAAGATAGCTGTTAAGGATATTCATTCTTTGACATTCTTCCAGACTAACTAGGCCTTGGATTTTCTTGCTTCCAGTATTTGAAAGGCTCAGGAGGTCTGGGTTCATTTCCTGTCTCTTCCTCAGGCTGTGTGTGTCACCTTATGCACGTCATTTAATCTACCCAGCTTCTAGCTACAAACTCATCTGCTTTTAACAACCTTTTTCCTGATAGTACTAAAGAATAGTGGTGCATCTACATGTGCATTAAGACACTTTTTCTAATGTGCATTAAATTTAGTACCTCCAATGTGAAGTATTAAAGAAATGCATATTAGGCTGCCTTATTGTGCAGTAATGAATGTGCACAGTTTAAGTGATGCTTAATGCACAATGGCCTATTTTACTGAGCATTTGTGTAATTGCATGGCTTTTTACATGACACTTTAATGCGCAGTAAAATAGGCTACTGTGCATTAACGCACATGTGTAGATGTGCCCAGTGTCTCTTAAGCTTACAAGGAGAATGAAATGAAAAAGTCACTGTTAGCACTTCAACTGTGGTTGGGTTTTTTTTTTTTTGTTTTTTTTTTTTAAGGCACAGTGTAGGCCAGACTTTCTCCTTATAGTGAGACCCTTGTAACTCAATTTGAGAAAAATGAAGCTAGAAGTCTTAGGAAGGAGAATAAGAAAACCCATTAATAATCTAAGAATGCTGTAGAAAATGAAAGGATACACCAAAGAGCAGATTTAGGTTGGACATTAGGAAGAACTTCTTCACAGTAAGGGTTGCTAGAACCTGGAATGGGTTTCCAAGGGAGGTGGTGCTCTCCCCTACCCTGGAGGTCTTCAAGAGGAGACTGGACAGGCGCCTAGCTTGAGTCGTCTGACCCCAGTGCTCTGTCCTGCCCAGGGCAGGGGGTCAGACTTGATTACCTGTTGAGGTCCCTTCTGACCCTAACATCTATGAAAGAGGAGAAACTCTTAGAACTAGCTATGCAAACTTGTAGAATAAAATCTAATGCATGGCTTTTGTCTAGAATCTGCCTAGTCATCTTTTCAGTCAGCATAAATCTGAATAATTCTGAGTAATCAGCAGAGTTATGTTAGTTTGCACCACCAAAATATCTAGTCCAAAATGTTTTGTATAATTTGCAGAGCCATTCTGATGAGATTGACAATTTATAGAGGCATCTAGCACTAATACCTCTTAGTGGTGAAAATGATATTTCACTTCTGTGTATTTTATAGGAGTAGAAAAGAAGGTAATCAATTCTGAAGGCCACACCTCCATGAATAATATGGCCAAAGTTTGCTATCTTGCTTAGCAGCTGCTAAGTGATGGTAAATGTGACTTGACTTCCAAAGATTTTGAAGTACTTCAGCAATTGCAAGCCAGAAACAGCCCATAATCTGCAATTAAATTCTCGCCATCCCAACTAAAAGATTCTTGAGACAAATTTGCAAAGTCTCTTGAGGAGGTATTTGAGAAACATATTCATTCTAATACCTGTGTATTGCTCCATTTGCTGATGATTCAAACATGTCTCTAACTGAGAGAGTTAGTATGCAGCAAGTTTATTCAGGATGGGAGAAGTTTCTATGTGCTTTGCTGACAGCAGATTAATAAAGAGAAACATGGTGTCAAACAGGAAATAAAAGGGTTTCAGGAGCTGGGAAACTCAAAGAGAACTCAAATGTAGTGGGAGTTTCCTTGAAAATAGAGCAGCAGTGAATATGGGCTATACATAGAGTGTGAGGTTTAGGCTCCCCTTGTTATCTAGTGCAGTGGTTCTCAACCTCTCTTTGTACTGGGACCCACTTACAAAGATTGGTGGCTTGTCCTGACCGACACATCTGTAGCCCTGCCGGTGCCTGCCCCACAGCCCCCCACTGCCCTGCCACAGCCTTGGTGCTTGGCCCCTCGACTACCTTCCCCTAGTGCCAGCAGGCACCTGCCCCCCCCCCCCCCACACACACACCCCACATGCATGCATGTACACTCTGCCCCTCCAACCCCTGCTTCCCATACACTTGCCTTCATCTGGCTGCTGGCCATGCCCCAAGCAGCCCTGTGGCAGGGCACTGGTTGTGCCTACCACTTTAAGGGTCTGGAGCTGGCAGCTGCCGGGTGCCTGATGAAGGCAGTCATTTTGGATCTGGGGCTGCCCATATAAACAGGGCAGTTCTGCTACTGGGGGCCAGGCAACAACATCACCTGGCCGGAGGGCTGCTGGTATCATCTGGAGGTAAGGGAGGAGGTGTAGGGGATGGTTTGGAGGCTCCTGGTCCTGAATACGACCTAAAACTGCACCCTGCGGGGAGTGGATGGCTTGGTGGGGCTCCCAGTGGCGTGGGAGCCCCCAGGAAATGCCAGGCCAGTTACCACCCTGGTGAAAGGCAGGTCATGGCGCCTGAACCCTTAGCCCCCACAACCAGGTGGGTTACCCCTTGTTTGGAGGACCTGGAAGGTAGACCCCCAGAAAGTGAGAAAAGGCCATAGTTTCAGGCCTGTCCGGACTTGCCCTGACTGGTCCATGCTGGGGCTAGGACCGGAAGGGTCAAAGGGCCAGGGGCCCACCACAAGGAACGCCCAAAAGCTGTGTGCCTGGGGTCCTGATTGGCCTGGAGGTGGGCGAGGGCTAGTGAGCCAAAGGTCCCAGGGGGGTGGGGGGGAACCACACCCGGAAGGGGAAGCAGTTCGGGGAGCTATGCTGCCTAGTATGAAGGCAGACGAGACTGCCTGAGGAGAGGATTCTAGACCGGGTTCAATCGGTGGGATTCTGGGGCCCAGAGTGGGGCTGGTGAGAGTGAGAACATCGTGATGCCATCAGCGAGGCTTGGGCTGCAGTGGAGGGGAGGAATGGAGCTGCAGATAGCACCCCCTGGCATTGGGGCAGGAAATGGGCAGCCTCCCACTTTATTAAGATCAATTAAACAATTAATTCCAACAAGGCATGGCGGGTGAGAACGCAGGTTATTAGCCTGGAAACAGGTGGACAGGCCACGGTTGAATCGGCCCTGAAAAGGCCCCCTGTTACAAGCCCCTTGCAGGATGGAACACTGCCAGGGGAAACCTGTGCTTTCATGAGTTTTTCTAGCAATTGCTCACAACCCTTTGAAATATTTATTATAACCCACTTTTGGGTCATGACCCACGGGTTGAGAAATACTGGTCTAGCGCATCAGCCACAACTACCATTTTGAGTTCTTGTTACCAGATCTGAAGAGACTAGTCCAAACATTATTTGGATTTAAAGACTTTTTAAAAAAACTTTTGCTATTTAAGCTGCAAAAGGTGATGGCATCTTCTTGTTTTTGTTGATGCATTTGAGGAGACCATAAAATATTTTGGAGGCACCTTTTAGTCCAGCGCACAATGTCAGGCAACAATGAAAAATTGTTATTTAGCTAGTACAGTGAGACTACAGAACAGAAACTGAGTTAAAGGGAGATATGCCCTGAGTTTGTGACGCTCTTTAAGAGTTCCAAGCAGTCATATTTATATGCGCATATTTCACAATGGAAACGGTCACTTCAGTGACTGAATTCCTTCTTTTTTTCAAGAAGTGAAATGTATTAGTGTATACACTATACCGATGTATTAGTGGAACTCACCCCTGCTAAGAGCAGGGCAGGGGGGTTTTTTTGTGTGTTTAAACTATTTATCCGCTTCCTTCCAGGATATATTACTTTGTAGATTTCCTGTCCTGAACTGTTGTGTGGTTGACTCTTCAGCGTCGAACTACAGCTGCATTTCATCCAACAGGCATCTTCAGTCCAGAGGTAACTAAAGTTTATTTAAATACTTGTTTTTACATGTATGGACAAATTATTAGGGATTTTGCAGCTGAAATGCAATTAATTTAAAGATTTTTTTTTTTTTCCCCTTTGGAGGAGTGAACCCTTTAAAATCTAGTGGCAGTAAAAACCATGGTCTCCCATGGACTTTTTCAGAAACTCTGAGTTCCTAGCCTCTCTGAAAACCACATTCCTGTGTGTAGCTGCTCCTGTGTACGCCAAAAACTGTTTGTCTGAGGAAATTTCATTATCTTCCTGCAACTACATTATCAATTAAGGTCATTTTACCAATTCACCTTCTGATAGTCAGTATGTTCACTTACAGAGTGGGCCAATTACTCCTGCTTCTTGCTGCTATATGTTATCTTTCATTATAAAATTAGAGATCCACCAATATATTAGTCAAATCTCAGATTGGCACTGATAAAATAAAAATTTACATTATCAGCTTTTTTTTTTTTTTTGGCTGGTGTAGCCAATTTAATGTCACCAATAAATGCCATGTGCATGTGTGCAGCCACATGCATGCACATGGCCAGGAATGCAGTTGGGCAGCTCAGACAGCAGCATCCTGCCAGTAAGTCTGAGGGGAAAGAGGCATGGGGGAGGGAAGGGGTGTGCGGGGACAGATTGAGGCCCCCATGATGAGAGAGGGAGTGAGGTAGCGATAGGGGCTGGGGCAGGGGCTGCCCAGTCAGGGTGGTGAATGGGACCCTGGGGCCAGAAGCAGGATAGAGCCATGGGAGGCACATCCAGGGGACACAGGGAGTTGGGGAGGTGGTTCCCCACAGCTGTGCACACACCCAGGGGAGGTATGGGAGGCATATGTTCCCCTCAATTTGTGAGAGAGGTGAGGGCAGGCTGCTCACTGTGGGCTTGGGAACGGGGAGAGTCTCTGGGCTGGGCTTGGGGCAGGCTCAGCTGCATGGGTCAGGCAGTGGCATTGGGATGGTTGGCTATGGGGGGGATATGGGGAATTTTGGGGTGACAATAGCCCTGCCAACCCCCCCCCCCAACAGCACTGCCTCTGCTCAGGGCACTCTGCTGTGCTGCATTTTTCCCTTGGGAGCCCTGCACTACAGGGCAGGCAGGGGTTGTGTGGCTAGGATGGGACTTCCAAGGCAAAGGCAGCGAAGTGGAGTGCCCCAAGCAGGGGTGAAATGCAAAACTCTAGAGGTCTTGGTTTAGAGATGACGCCTTTTATTACGCCAACTAAGAAATTGCAAAAAAGGGGTGGCACGGGGGGGGGGGGCTTGGGAGGCTGTAGCCACCCCTCCCAGTGCCGTTGCTGCCCATCCCATGCAGCTGGACCTGCCCCGCTCCCAGCCTTGGTCCAGCCCTCCACCAGGAAGAGGCTGGGGCAGCCCCCCTTGCCCCATGCACAAATCTGGGGGCACATTCCCCCCCCCCATACCTCTCCTGAGGGTGCTTGCAGTGGTGTGGAGCCACCCACCCCATCCCATGCCACCCCTTTTTTGCAAAGAAAGAAAGGGGGAGGGGTTGCGCTCTATGTCAATGAGCATTATACATCGACCCTCATCAAGATGGAATCGAAGGATGAGGAAGTAGAAGGATTGTGGGTTAGGTTACATGGGGGGCAAGGAGAAAGGGATTTGGTGGTAGGGGTCTGCTACAGACCCCCACACCAAGGGGAAGAATTAGATTTGGGGCTCCTGAGGCAGCTCTCAGGGACCATAAAAGCCAAGGAGGCGGTAGTCATGGGGGACCTAAACTACCCAGACATCTGCTGGGAGACACAGACGGCAAAGTCCCACCGTTCACGCAGGTTTCTAACCTGTGTACAGGACCTCCACCTGACACAGGAGGTACACGGTCCCACTAGAGGGAATGCCTTACTTGATCTGGTATTGGCAACGGGGGATGACATGGCTACCAATCTGTAGGTCCCCTACCATCTGGGGGACAGTGATCACCTAATAATAGAATTCTTCATAAGACGTCGAGTGGGTAAGGTAACTAGTAGGGTGAAAATGCTAGACTTTAGGAAAGCTGATTTCAATGAACTCAGGCGATTAGTCAAGGACGCACTGCAGAGTAGGAGTTTTGAAGTGATGGGAGCCCAAGAAGGGTGGCTGTGCCTTAAGGAAATGATCCTTCGGGCACAAAGCAAGACGATCCCC